ATGGGGCCTGACCTAGGGCTGTGGGATGGGGGCCTGACCGAGGGCTGGTGGCGTGCAAGTGCAGATGCTACGGAGAGATGACAGGACCTGGTGACTGCTTGGCCCCATGGGATGATGCCAGGCCCCACCTAGGGCAAAGAAGGTGGGCGTGGCAGCCCACGTGGGAAGGCAGTAAGGGAAACAGCAGCTCTAAAACACAGGCAGGCTGCGACCAGTAGAAACTGAATCCCTTGTGATAAGAACCAATAGGAGCCACCACCTGCTGGGTGTCTGTAGACGTTGGAAGGGCGGTCCCCAAGGAGCCTAGCTTTGTTCCTCTACTGGAAAGAGGCCCTTAGATGGAAGACGTCTCCTGGCTTTGACTTTAACAGACGGAGGCAGGAATGACATTCCCTCGTCCCCCCATCTCCCCCCAATCCCGATGCCAAGGGCTGTGAGTCTCAAAGCCAGACAGGCAGGGTGACGAATGGCCACGAGGGCCCCACGTGTCCACGTGTCTAGGGGCACCCCCAGGCGGGCCAGCTGAAGTAGCAGGACTCAGATACACAGCAAAGTTCTTGCTTCCTTGGCGGCAACTAGGGCACTCCAAAAGGGGTCTGGGATCCAGCTGGACCCAGTTAAGGCTGGGGTTGGACAGAGAAGGCTTTGCAGGAAACCTATGCAGCAGCTCACTTCGAAGGAGGAGACACCTACCAAGTGTCTGGGCTGGCAAGGCTGAAAAGGGCCCAAAGAGCCCAATGGATGGTGCCAGGAAGGGCGGAAGGAGGGCTTCCAGGGGCCGCTGGGGCAATGTCCTCATGGTGGAGAACAGGTCAGCCCTTCCCCTGCCACTCCTCTGCATGAGCCTTGAGGGCAGGGGAAGGTTCCCTATTTTACTAAATGAGAGGCAGGAAGGTGACTTCTCTCACCAGCGGACGGCAGGGCCAGAGAGTGATGGGAATTCAAGACCAAATTCCACGTTGGGTGCCCTGGCCATGAGCAGGACGATCCCAGGGTCCGACAGACTTCTCCAGAGACACACTGGTGATGGAAGATGTCACTTTTATTGTTTCTCTCTTTCTGAAAACATGAGTAAACATACAATATATATACCTCTTATTTATATATATTAGATATATTTACTGCAAGGGCTGGTGACTTCCACCAACCCTTCTGGTAGAATTTATTTGAACTGTCTTTATTGGGGGGAGGGGGGAAGGACAGGGGAGAAAAAACGTAGTGTCACGGGTTGCCCAAAGCGATAAATCTTTATTAACAAACAGCAGGAAAAACACCCCAGCTCCAGCAGGAGCCACTGGCCAAGCCTCACGACCCCAGGGGACGGGGGCAGCAGACACAGCCACCCCCCACCCCCAGACACACACAAACCAACCCCCACACCCGGCAGGTGAAGCTTCCTGGGGCCTGGCTGTGCAGGAGCTGGCCGGGGGGCTTCTCCTGCAGAGGGATGCCCCCCAAGAAGGGCTCAGGTGACAGGCGCTGCAGCTTCCGGTGGGGGGATGGGGAGGATTTCCAATTCCATGAGCACCCAAGGTGGGATTTGAGGAAAACAGGGGAGGAGGAGGATGGGACAAGCAGTGGTCCAAGGGCTGGCTTCTAGGGCCTCACAGGGACCCTTTGAGCCCAGTCCGATGAACTGTGGGAGGTTTCAGCCAAAGCAAACATGGGGAAGGAGGAAATGCTATGGGGCTGCCGTCTTGGATTGAGAGAGGGCTCTCTCTCCTGTCCCCACCTCCCCGCTCCCCCCAGGGAAGCAAGTGCCTGGGGGCTGGAGGAGCACCTTCCTAACAACACGACACCCACCCATCTAGCTGGGGGCTAACATCACCACCAGGGAGGATGCGGCCTGGACACTGGTTCTGATAGACAGAGTCAAGAAAAAGCCCAAGAGACAAAGGGTCTTCCCGGGGTCTGTTTGGGGCCCGACCAATGACACGCTCCTACCTGAGATGGGAGGGCCAGATGCTGGCCCTGACGCTTCCTGACCTCAGCCCCCCCACTCTCATTCCCCCACTAAATCTCTGCAGTGGCAGGGGGCACAATCCCACGTCGCAGATACACCCCCCCTCATTCCTGGGAAGCCTGAGGCCTAAGCGGACTCAGTGTCCCTGGGCCCCCTGCAGCTGGAGAAACAGCAGGGAGTCACCTCCTCTCCCCTGGCCCTGGGGCAGGAGGGGCGGGAGGGGCAGGGGGAGGGGAGGGGACCATCAGTTCTTGAGGATGGTCTCGTAGGCCTGGTAGACATGCTGAGATACCTCCGGGGCTCGGCACTTCAGGGACAGCTGGAGGGGGAGACAGAGAGAAAGGGGCTGCTGGCACCCGGCCGGCCATCCTCGGAGAGCGGAGAGTGAGCTCCAGGCCCGGGCCGAGCCGGTGCCGCAGATGAGCCGCGCACGAAGCCGGGGGCGAGCGCTGCTGCCTCCTCCGCCACGCTGGGCCAGGGACCCAAATATACCTCCAGCCCACACACCTGCTGCCAGAGCTCCCAGACACCCGCTCCCCGCCCCCCGCCAGCGAGAGGAGGGATGAATCAGCAGCCGGGTTGCCAGGGAGCCCATCCCAGGAGGCTCAGAGAAGCTGGGGGTGGGGGGCAGGGGCAGGCATCCCCCCGCCTCGGTGTTAGAGAGTGCCGGCCTCCTCTCACCATCCCCCGCATCAGAAATGAGACGGACGGGAAAGGAAAACAAGCCGCCGGGTCGGCAGCGCTTGGCCCTCCGGCCTTCTCTGGGCAACGACCCGGACCTGATGTCTGCGTCTCGCCTCCCACACCAACTGGCATTACTTAGGGCAAGTCCCTTAACCTGTCTCAGTTTCCTCATCTGTAAAATGGGGATGTTATAATGAGGGCGAAAATGAGCCAATGGTGGCAAGGTGCTGTCATGTCACCATCACCACAGATTCAGAAAATCTGAGAGCCGGAAAGGAGCCCCCCCACACCCCCATTTCAGAGATAAGGAAACTGAGGCCCAAAGGAGGCCGCGACCTGCCTGGGGGAATGCCTTGTGGCACCATCGCCCCCACCTCTGCACCCTGGGTGTCGGCCCAAGCCCAAGGCTCAAAGTCAGCCACGCAAGCCAGGGTCTTTGGGGAGCAAGCAGAGACTCAGCCAAGGCGGGAGGGAAGACAGGGGGATCCGCCCATCAGGGGAGGCGGGCGTGAAGCCGCCAAACATATGGGAGAAGGGGAGGTGGAAATAAACACGCACTCCGACTCAGGCGCCAACTGCAGCCCCAGCGCGGCTGGAGGCTGGACTGGGGGGGCGGGGGTGGCGGCGGGGCCCTTCCAGAGGACAGGGAGACTTTGAACAAAGGATCTCCTCCTCCTGGTGTTGCAACCGGCCTTCTCGTGTGTGTGTGTGTGTGTGTGTGTGTGTGTGTGTGTGTGTGGGTGTGTGTGTGTCTGTGTGTGTGTGTGCGAGTGAGTGCGCGAGCGAGTGTGCGAGCGAGCGCGGGGGGGCCGCCAGGAGCCTCACCGTGAGGTTGGGGTTGCCAGGCTGGACGCGCAGCTCGGCCAGGACCCAGATGCTGTTGGTGAGCTTCAAGGACTGGTACAGCATGTCCTGGCCCTCCACGTTCCTCTTGGCAATGGTGAAGATGTTACTGGCTTGCAGTTTGCTACTCACGGCCTCTGGGAGAAGGCAGGCAGAGGGGAAGTGGCACCCGGGCCCAGCCCCCAGAAGGCACGCACACCCCCAGATCCACCCACCCCCCTCCTCCCACGGTCTCCATTTTGGTGGGCAATAGTGCCCAGCACAGAGGGAGCCTCGAATGGAGATTCACAAAGGGCCCGCATGGCGTCTCCCTCACCTGCATTGAGAGGGCAGTCTTTGATCTGGAACTGGGCCTCATTCTCATTGGGAATGTCTTTCCACGTGGCCAGGAACATCTGCCGCTCTGAGGGGAGAAGCCTGGCTGAGCCCACCTACCGCAGCGGGCGCCAAAGCAAAGGCCTCGAGTGCGGGGTCCGGCCCCTTCCCTGTCTGGGCTCCCCAACCCTGTGACTTGGTTATTTCGTGCCTGGAGTTAATCCCACCTCCCACCCTACTCCACCCCGCTGGCATATAACCAGAGGGAGATGGGACAATGCACTATGGCATGTCTGTCCTTCGAGGTCCTTCCTGCTCACCCCTGCCCTGGGCTCCAGCCTTGGCCCCACCTGCTGTCCTCCCCCACCTGCCCCAATCTCCCAGCTGGGTGTCCTCCACTTCCTCTTGGAGCCCAAGGTCCTTTAAACTGGAGCTCACTTTCCTGACTGTGCCCAGGCCACGAGAACGACTGAGGAGCGTGACTGCTGCCCCGTCCAACCATCTTGCCCTCGGTCCTGACCTTGACGGAGGGCCCCAGGCCACCTATGCCTGCAGCAGACCCTGTGGCAGTGCAGGGAGAACGTGGGGCAGCCGGGGAAGGGGCGGGAGGCCACAGGCCCCAGCAGGCGCTGAGGGGTACTCACCCATCTTGCCGTCTTCCACAAAGAGGATGTGCAGCGGGTACAAGGTGCTGAAGTAGAAGACGTCAATGTTGTTCTTTACGGCCACCTGGGGGCAGGGGAGGGGGTGAGGCGCCAGTGCCCAGGCCAGCTCCGCTGCCTCTGGCCTCCAGCCCTCCCTAAGCCCCAGTGGGGAAGGAAGGCATCCTCTGGGCCCTGGCTGTCAGACTTAGACTGCCTTAGAAAACCCCGTATCAGGATCATCTCTGACCTGTTTTGTTACCCAGTGACACTTCAAGCTGGTTCCCACTGTCCCCGGGGGTGCTCTGGGCCTGTGTAGCACTGAGCCTGCCGGCCCTGCCTCCCACTGCCGGAGTTCCACCTCCCCGCCGCTCTGGCTAAGCCCCTATGAGGGAGGAGAGCGCCCGGCTCTAAGCTGACCATCCCTGAGCCAAGAAGCCAAGCGCTGCAGGCCTTCTCTGGACGCAGGCCAGCTCTGGCACGCTGGCCGTCAGGCAGCCCCGGGGCCGAGCGTACCTGAAGGTTGTTCAAAGGGTCCATCTTCATGACAGAGCCCACGGTGTTCAGAGGGAGGGAGATCTCCACCGTCTGGTTGGGACTGAGAGGGGCGTGGACTTGGAGGGGAGCCGCAGGGGCCAGGCCAAAGCTGTGGAGGTGAGGGGACAGAGCTGAGCCGGAGGCCAGAGGCACAGCCCCCACTGTGCACCTGCCAGGCTCTCTTTCCCACTCGTCCAGCTGTCCTTGTCCTTTCGAGAAGGCTTGAGAGAAATCAGGCCTCGGCTGGGGTCAGGACTTAAGCTATTTCTCATTGGAGAATTCTGGGAGTCTCTGTGCCCAGCCACCCTTCAGCCGGGCCAGGCTCTGGCCCCAGCTCTGCCCAGCTCATGGTTCTTCTCAGAGGAGCCAATCCAACCTTTGCTTCCCTGACGCATCCCAAGGGAAGACAGATCCCTTGGGCTGGACCAGACGGCCATGAGGCCCCTTACTCTGAGATTCTGTCTTGGGGTACCCCCACCCCCATGAAAGACTACCCCAGCCCAGAGGGCCAGCTCTCCCACGTCTGGCCCCCCTGGGGTGAGTTGGAATCAGGGTGCCAGCCTCTGCCTGCTGGATCTGGCTAACAGAATGCCTTCGGTCACCTTCTCAGACACTGCAGTGCAGGCATCACCGGAGCCATCCAGGGAGAAGAGTTATCAGGAGAGGCTGCTTTGGGCCAAGTGGACAGGCCTAGTTACTGGCCCTGCCCAGCCATGTGCACTGGCCTCCATCCTCCCAGCCCATCTGTTGTCCTCAGGCGTTCCTGGGCGCATTAATTAAGAGCATCTCCTCCTCCCTAAGCCCATGGTTCAGAAACCTTGCGAGTGATGGCCAGAGCTGCCAGCTTGCTGCCTTACCTGTTGCGGTTGAACTGGATGGCAAAATCAGACATGACCTGCAGGGCCTTGTTGGTTAGCAAGAGGTCCATGGAGATGGAGCCCACCTGGCGGGTGAAAGTCCCTGAGATCTCAAGGCCTTTGGCTTTCATGGCAGGCAGCCAGACCTACAACAGAAGGTCAATACACGGAAGGGGTCAGCAGCGTGGCATGGTGCCTACAGCTCTATGTTCTGATCCTCCCTTGGACACTTACTAGCTGTGTGACCCTTGGCCGATGCCCAACCTGAGCCTTAGTTTCCTCCTTTGTAAAATGAGAGCACTGGCTTTTATCTGTATTTCTAAGATCCCTCTACTGGTGTTCTAAAGAAAAAAGGCAGCTGAGAGTGCTCCAGGGAAAGCTCTGACTGCCCTCCCCCAAGGCCGGGGGGGAGCAGGTCAGGGCGGGGCTCGGGTGGCCAAGCCCCCTGCCCAGATCTACGCCTGAAAGGGACCCCAGATGCCACCGGGTCCAAAGCCCTCATTTACAGGAGGCCCAGAGGGCCAAGTGGCCAGCATCACAGCAGCAGCTCTGCCAGCCTAGGTTAGCTGAAGGTTAGGACTGGCATGCCTGGCATCTCGTGGGCAGGGACTGTTTTTCCTTTGTATTGCCAAGCGCTGGGCATAGTGCCTGGCACATGGCTGTCCTCTGTTCTCGCAGAGGACCAAGATCACATCGCTACGCGGGGGTCAGGGCACGGTGCGTCCGACGGGGGCTGATCAGACCAGTGAGTGCCTGGAGGCTCCACCACAGGACAGGCCCAAACAGTCCACAGGAACATCTGGAGGGGAGACGGCCCTACATTGGTACAGCTCCTGCAATTCCGCTTCCCTCACAGAGCACGGCGCCTTCTCTGATGCGGGCACGCCACGCTGGGTGGTCCTGTGCGGCGTCTCCCGCGTCTCACAATCGATTCCAGCCCTTCAGAGACACCTTGAGAGTGTCCTTGTATCACTTCTTCTCTCCACCTGTGAGCACTTGCCCTGTATGAGTTCTCTGTAAAATGGCCGGTGCCTTGGGGAGACTGGGGAGGATGGGGTGAAGAGGCAGAGCCCTGGCTTAGGATCAGAACCCGAGACGACACAATTCTACCTCAGGGTGACCCCTTGACAGTGCAGGACGTCCCCTGAGGCCGTCATACTCATCTCTTCCCCAGAGACGCCTGAAATGTCATAAACTGGCCTTGCCAGGAAAGGGGGGTCCGAGTGGCTGCCACCACCCAAAGGCCTGTTATGAGCACAACCTGCCAGTGAGGCCTGGCGGGCCAACGGATGATGATTGTGGTCTCCCCTTCAGCCATAGGAAAGCTGTCCGGTGTAAATGTGCTGTCCCAGCCCTGGGTTCTGGGCCTGTTCTGGGCAGGGGACCTAGTGTTCACCTCTTAGTGCCTCAGTTTCCTCACGGTGGCTCTCTAAAAGCTTTTACAAGGAAGTCCAGAGCACAAGTGTCCCCCGACATTCTCGGGGCATGCGATCTCGGTCTCTGGGGAGTGGGCTCGGAGGGAACGCCGTTCCCAGCTCCAGGATCTCTTTAGGCCTCGTCCGGCCGTCACACAGCATGGTTCTACGGCCCTCGGCCAGTCAGGAGGGCCGTCGAGGGGTCAGCCCTTCCCCAAGGGCCACCTGCTTCAGAGAAGATGGGGACGCTGTCCTGGGGTCAGGGGTGGAGCACCAGTGTCTGAAGGGCAGTCTTGAGAAGGAGGGATGAGCTCATTCTGCTGGGCCCAAGGGCCAGAACCAGGGGCAGGGGCTCCAAGTGGCTAAGAGGCAGACTGAGGCCGAATGTCAGACGGCGCTTCCTCACGGTGGGAGCTGCCCCAAAGTGGAGGGGGCTGCCTGGAGGGCTTTGGGAAAGGCTGGAGGTCAATGCGCCTGCTACAGATGCTGGGGTTCAGGTCTGGATAAAGGAGATGGCCTCCTGGCTTTCTCCCAGCAGGGAGACTCTCCCACTGGCCCACTCCAGGGCCACCTACTAAGCACTTATCACCACAGAGCCCCAGACGGTGCTTGACAGGCCCTCTGCCGAGAAGGACGAGCAGACCAGTGTCTTACACGGTCCCACCCACAGTGGGTGCTCAGTAAGTTACCACCTTTCCAAGCTGACCAGACTAGAGCAGGATATTAGGGAGACAGGATGGACCCCGGTGAACAATTAGCCAACACAATACTTTAACGCCTGTGCACACGCACACACACTCTCCCCAAGGCACTGCAAGTCACGGTGTGAGCTGCCCCCTCCCCGCCACTGCCCAGTCACCAGTGATGCTGATTCATGGGACACAAATGTGACTCATAGCACGTGGTCAGCAAATGGGTTTTGTTCGCTGAATCAATGTGGACAGAAGGGCCCTGACGCAGGCACACGCACAGCCCTGGCGAGGCCCCTCCCCTTGGTAGGCCGGGGTGAGGCCGTGGCGGGCAAGGCCACTCTGTGTGCTTGGCCACGACAAGGAGCCGATGGCCCAGCGTGGTGTGCTGCACTTAGTAGGGGTTTCCTAAATGTCTGTGGCTCCTGGGAGGAAAGGAGACAAAACCCACTATTGTCAAACTGTCACACCCCGGTTAGACTGGCCCGAGGCACGGGCAATGGGCACAGAGAGCCGTCCTGGGATGAGCGCCAGAGCGCACTCGTGACTTACTGCTTTCGGGGCCACGTAGGAGCCTGACAGCGATCCCACTCCGCTGGTTAAGTCAAAGAGGTCACCCAAGCCCCCGCCAATGGGGGCACCCAGGTTGGCTGGCATCGTCCCTGCGGGAGGGGCAGCAAAGTTTGTGCCGCCCATCTGGAAAGGGACAGACAGAAAGGGGGTGAGGGGGACTGCAGAGGAGGCGTTACCACAGGCCTGGAAAGAGAGGCAGGGCACTTATGGCAGGGCTGCCACTCACATCACCTCTAAGCTACAGAGACAAAAAAGAGCCCAGTAACTAGAGAGCCAGGATGGAAGCCCCCCGCTACCCTTGGGGAAGCCCCTCCACGACCGGGGGCACTGCCCAGCCAGCACTCGACACACACATCCACCACGGGGATTTAGAACCAGCTCAGAAAAGGGGGCTGCAGGGAAAGAGCCAGAGTGACTCCCCCCAGGCTGGCCCAGGGACCACCCCCAGCGTGGCAGGAGTCCTGTAAGGTGCCACAGGCAGCAGCAGATGCCCAGCACGGCCCTTGGAAGGGAGGCATGCCCACTCGGAGCTCCCATCTCCTCCCCAAGGCTGTCTGCAGGCCAGTCAAACAGAAGAGTGGGGACTGGGGAGTGGGGAGGGAAACTCTAATCTGGGCATCTGGGGGGATGCCCCCTACCCCTTCAGCCTCGTCGCCCATCTCCAAGCAGATGCAGCCAGGGTGAAGAGGACAGCCAGCCACATGCAGAGAGAGGCCACAACAGACACAGAGAGAGAGACAGATGTGACAGACAAGGAAGAGAAAGAAGAGAAAGGAGGAAAAAAGATTAGTCGTGACAAAAGCTCTTCCCTTAGTCTGGTGCCTGATTCCAGGCAGGACTCCTGGTGCGTGAACCTCGAGAGAAAGGTCTCCCTACAGACTCACTGGCACAGTTTCTCCCCCTACACTGCAGCGGCCCCTCACTAGCTCCCCGCCCCAGCCCAGCCCTCTGAGCTGCTATCTCAGCAGCAGGTGTCCTGGGTCATACCAGGCCTCTTGCAGGGGCTCACCATGAGCTTCCCGCTTGGCTCTGGACCAGTCCATGCCACCCTTTAGGCGGCTGCGTCCCAGCCTCTCCACTGATCTATTCCCAGCCCTGGTTTCTGAAGGCGCGTCCATGACCGTGAAGGGCCAGAGTTGGAACACACAGCCTAGTTCTGTTCCCTATGGGCCTCCAAATGGTCTGGAGATGCCCACCCAGTAAAAATGAGGGAAAGCCCCCCGACATACCAGGCTGTCCAGGCCTCCCCCCAGCAGGTCCACGGCCCCCATCTGGACAGGGGCTGCGGTCAGCGGGGGCCCGGTGACTGGGGGGCCCAGGTCCAGGTTGAGCAGGTCTCCGAGGAGGTCACCTTGGGCAGGGATGACAGCCGGCTGCTCCCCAGGGGGTGCGCCTGTCGGGGCAGCCTCAGGGCTCTCGGCACTCTCACTCCTGCCACAGAAGACCCGGGAAAAGGGAACGGTGAGCTGGGCACGGCATTAAGGGGGGCATCAAAGGGGAGGGGAGCACGACTGGTTTGAAGAGCAGAGGGCATTTTCTGGCACCCCCCCCCCACCCAGAGGTCTCTGGGAGGCTGAAGCCAGCCCCTTTCTCCACCAGGGATGTGCATACAGCAGGCACTCAATCATTAAACTGAGCAAACCCAGCTCAGGGAAGGAAGACCCCGGATCACCCTGAAACAAGGTCAAACGCTGATACTTCGCCCACGCCACTGCAGGAAAATCGCTGACTATCCAGCTGAGGGCAGCCGCGCTGCCCTCTGAGCCGACTGGCCTGGCTGGCTCCCTCCCCGCAGGATCTGGTACTCACGAGCCCGTGCGTGGAGGCAGGCTCTTGTGCACTACCCCCCGACTGCCCTCCACAAAGGCACTGGGGGGCTTGTGGTAGACTGAGGCTAGCGTGCCGATGTAGCAGATGAGCTCGTCGAGGAGCGTGGGCTCAATGAGGTCGGTCTCCTCTGAGATCAGCGGCTTCTCGGCCAGGACCACCTCCTTGGCCGCCACGGGGTCTGTGGAGAGCAGGCGCCAATAGATGTAGCCTCGGTCCCGCAGGTCAGGGTTATCTGAGTCCTTCATAGGAGGAGGTGGGCGTGGCGTGGCGTGGCACAGCGAGAGAAAAAAGAGGCCGGGAGGTCAGAGCAGGGCAGCAGCTGACGGCCTCAGGTCAGACCTCACTCTGCAGGGCCTGAGGAGGGTGAGCAACGAAGCAACACCCTCGGCTTCCTCAACCTGACTGCCTTCCTCCAGGGAGCGCGGCCTTGTTCTCCATCTGTCTCCGTCTGTCTCACACTCTTACTCACACACACAGACACACACAGACACACCCCTGTCTGAGCAGGAGGTGGGGGTGATGATGGGCCCAGCAGGGTCACTACGGTCACGGGCCCTCGGCCCTGGCCTCGGCTCTTTCCTGCCCCATTCCCACACTGAGTCCAGGGGCCCTCACCAATCCACGCCTGCCCTTTGCGGTCCACAGGACACACTCTAGCCACGATGATGATGTGGCCTTGAATGACAGGCAGGCCTCTGTAGCCAGTGTAAGCTCATTGAGGGCAGGGGCCAGGCTCTCCCCCAGGGCTGAGCCCTTTCAGGGTGCTGTCAGCAGAGCTGCCAAGGCCTAATTCACTCCGGCGTCCACCTTCCCTCCCTTCCCCCTGCGAGAGCCGGGCAGAAGCCTCGGGACGCACCTGGGTGGCCAGGCTGAGGACCTGCTGCACCAGCTCCTGGGTCTCTGTTGGCTTCTTCAGGAAGAGTTTCACAATGGCTGTCAGCAGCTGCAGCTGAACCTGGGCCAGGCGAGAAGAGCCGTGAGAGCAGGCGGTGCACAGGTGGAGGTGGCACAGACGTCATCCACACCCCAGCACTGGAGCTGGGGTCACCATCTCCAGGAGGGGCCGGCAAAAGACCCACCAGTGGGGGTGAGGGGTTAAAAGAGTGTCTGGCCTCGACTCAGCCAATCCTGCCTGGGTAGGCCGGAGCCCTGGCCACAGCTGGCAGCGGACTCTCCCCATTGAGAACTCAGGCCCAGGGCGTGCCAGAAGGCCCAGGGCAGCCCACGTCCCACATTTCTACGGCACCTGAAGGCTTCTCAGGTACTCTGCTTAGAAGAGCCCTGAGAGGCTGGGGCTACGAATGTGATCTTCATTCTGCAGTTGAAGAGACGAAACCTCAGGGACAGGAAATAACTCGAATGAGGCTGATCTGGCACTCTGGGCCCAGGAAGGACAAAGGCCCGGACCTCTGGCCAGGGATGAGCAGAGCCTGGCCAGTCCTTGTAACCGTACCTTCAGACCCTGGGGGTACCCAGAGCATGTTACAGGTGGGGCCACGGAGGCTTAAAGCAGGGCGAGGCCGGCCCCCAGGTTTCACGGGCATCAAACGCTAGAAGTGAGGGGAGAGCCCTGGTCTGCAGATGGGCAGCCCAGGACGAGAGGCCAAGACCCGTGAGCCAGCTCCTGACTCCGCCACATCCTCCCGCTGTGGCTCTGCCTGGTCCTTTATAACATGAGGGTGACAGGCCCTGCTGGCACTGAACTCCATGGGGAAAGCTGGCCCTCTCCAAGAAACACCCAGAGAGCCCCTGGACATCCCCCACAGCAGCGGGTGGGATGGGGAAGCATTGACACAAATCCCACAGGAAGAGGCAGGATGCCCAAGGGCTCCCCCCAAAACAAGGCCCTTGCTGAGGCTAGCTCTGAGGGAGAAGGAGACGGGGGACATGGAGGCAGCAGCAGCAGCTGCAGGGCTGATCATACTAGGGCAATCAACTGCTCAATGATCCTAGCCCACGTGGCAGGCTAATGCAGAGGTGTGGAGGTAGGTCATATGGTGAACCCAAGAGCCTCTCAGGACACAGCTGGGGAGCAAACTCACCTCTCTGACCATCCCACAGGACAACTGCGTGTCCCCCATCTGCCTGTCTTGCAGGGTGGTGAAAGGGGGCTGCCACCATGAAGGGGGCCAGCAGCCTGGCTCTGGACAACAGTCTCAGCTCCCCAAGAGCAGACACAGTTTCCATCTTTTGTCCTGGCCTCCTCAATGTCTGGCACATAGTAGGTGCTCAGTAAAGCTTGCTGACTGATTTCAAAGAAGGGCTGGCAGTAGCTAGGGCTGCCTCTGTGCCTTGTACTGTGGGAGGGCAGAAGGCCAGCTTCCCTCAGAAAGACTCCCCCGCTTCAGGGTCTGTATGAGCTCCCTAGCCTGCCATGGGCTAGAGGGCCGAGGGAGGAGCCCAGCCTCCTATAGCCCCCCGCCACCATGAGGCTGCAGCTGCCCGACACCAGCTTGGGCCGGGACCCCAGAGCCTTAGGGCTGCTGCGCCGCCCCCACCCCCAAACCAACCACCAAATTCTAGGTGGGCTTCTTGGGAATGTCTGGGCAGCCCGGGGGAGTGAGGAGGAGTAGCCAGTCCTACTGCCATCAGAGCCTCCCAGCTGCCTCCTGCTTTAAGACCTGCCCCCGACTCTTTCTGCAAGTGTGTGTGTGTGTGTGTGTGTGTGGGCGTGCACACGTGTGTGTGTGGGGGGCGGGGAGCTGCTGTGCACCCCAAGCCAGCCAGGCCCAAGCCGAGCTAAGGCTGGTCCCTCTGTTCCCTGCCCTCCTCTCCAGCAGGGGGCGCTGCCACGCCCACACCCACGCCCTCCCCTCACCTGGGTGCTCTCATCATGGAAGCCTTCCAGGAAGCTCTCCAGGAGCTCATCAGCATTGTCGATGCGCTCCGCGTACTCGCCCACGATCCAGATCATGGCCGCCCGCGCCTCCGGCTCATCCAAGGAGTCCAGGTTCTCGCACAGGGTAGCGATCACGCTCTCGTACCTGCAGCCGTGGGAGAGCAGGGTGATGAGGATGGACGAGGAGGACGCACCTGGATAGTGGGCATGGCCCTGGAGGACAGATGCTCCACCACAACAGGATGCACAATGGCAGAGCTGGAGCAAAGCGGGAGAGAGGAGGGGGGAGCCAGGAGCTGTTGCCGTCAGCGGTCGCGGCCCCCCTCCCCAGGCCATCTCTAGAGACGCAGGAGCCTGGAGAAGCCGGAGGCGGTACAGAAACTCGGGCCAGCAGCCGGGGTGGGCAGGTGGGTCTGGCCTGTGGGGACCTACTTGTTGGGGTACTTTCGGAAGATGTCTTTGATCACCACGATGGCCTCCTGCACCACATAGTTGACCTTGGTCTGGATCAGGTCCAGCAGGGTGCTCACACAGCGCTCTGCAGATTGCTGCAAGGACACAGCAGGGCTCGGGGGCAGCTCTTAGCGCCCACTGCCCGCCTCTCCAAGCCCTCGCTCTGGCAGCAGAAGCAAGGCAGGGCCGTGGAGACCTCCTCCCCCAGTAACAGAATGGGGGAACAATGCGTGTAAAGTCACCTGGGGAGGTGAAGGCAGACCACGGATCACAGCCCAGGGTCTGACCCCCGTCCCTTTGCTGCTAAAAACCGGTCCCTGGGCACTGATACAAAGGCCACCCTTGAAGAGGGAGCTGGGGCGGGGGGTTACTGAAGGTCTCCTTGACCCCCAGACCCAGCCCTTCCAGGATAATTGGTCTGATGGCAGAGGGGCCGTCTCTGCAGGCTACGGGTCTAGGAGGGGGCTTGGCACGAGGACAGAGCAGGGTGGTGGGGGCAGGGCACTAACGATGTGTGGAGCCTTGGACAAGTTACCTCCTTTCTCTGGGCCTCAGTTTCCTCAACCATAAAATGAGAACATTAAACTAGGTGGCCAACTGCTAAGGTCCCTTGCAGATTTAAATTAGGACAAGGAGGCCAAAGAGTGGAGGCAGTGGCCTGAGGAGGACGGCAGAGTCTGGAGAGACGCCAGCCCCAGTGCTGACGTCCCCTGAAAGTGTGTGTCCCTGCTGACAACCTTCCACAAAGGAAGCTTGCCCCCCAAGTATCTGCCTCACCAGGCGAGCCAGCCAGACACCTCTCTGGCTGTCCAGGTTATCCTGGCCTGAGCTTCTTCAGGGCAGCCCCTAATTGTCAGTGATCTGAGGGGTCTGGCTCATCTACACAGAGCATCACAACTGACCTCAAACCCACTGATCTCTAGTGACTAAAGGGCAGGGGAGAGAGATGAGCCGTCCAGGGATGGATGAACTCCATCACCAGGACCTGGAAGCCCTGAAGGTGATAGGAGCTGCAGTGAGGAAGCCCCCCTGCCCCCCTAACTCTGATCTCCTGTCAGGGCCCATGGCTTGGGCTCCCAAGGGTTCCTGCTCCCCAGAGGGGCCCAGACCCTGTCCTGGGGCTGGCCCAGGAATGCTCACCTCCACCTTGATGGCACAGCGGCCAATGGCACGGACGGCCTTGCGCACAAAGTCCACGTCCACTTCTGTGGCATACTCCTTCAGCTCCGCCAGCACCTGCCATGGGAATACACAGTGAGAAGTGGCCGGCAGAATGGGATCAGCTCTCTGCAGGGGAGGAGCAGGGCTTCTCCTAAGAGGGTGCCCTGACTGCTGTGCAAAGATGGAGGCCAGGGTGGACGGGGTCATCTGGGAACAGGGAGCCAGCGTTCTTTGGGAACGGAGCCTGCCACCACCCAGGAGGCAGGCCCAAGGTGCCCCAGTGCCAGGGCCAGCTGACCTGGGCAATGTTGGCTTGGGAGGCCAGGCGGATCATGATGTCCAGTTTTTCTAGCTTCACATAGATGGGATCGTTGTACTTGACGAAGAAGACCTTCATCTCATGTTTCAAGATCTCAGGCCTGGAAAGGGAGAAAAACTGCTCACACCTAAGACGACACTAAGAAATGATCGAAAGAGCAAGCCTGGGGGACGGCGAGTGGGGCAGTGACAGCCTTGTGGGCCCCTCGTCCGAGCCAAACGGCAGACGGGAGCCCCACATTCAGACTATCTAGTGACGAGTCAGCTCCACGAAGCACCAAACTCAGCAGGCTTTGCCCTGAACGCCGAGGAGACAAGCCCACACCCACAGGACAGCTGGACACAAGGCCCGAGGCACAGGAAAGGGAAGTGGAGGAAGACAAGCGGAGGAAAGGAAGGAAGAGGGAAAAGGGGTCCGCACAGCTGGCTCACGGAGGGGGCGTGGGGTAGCAACAACGGCCGGCTGCCTGGTCCTGACCACTGCCACGGCCAGGAGGCCCAGAGATGACCCTCGAGCAAGGAACAGAAGGCAGCCCGGGCCCTTGGGCCCTCGGTGAGAAGGGCAGGGATCGCGCCAGAGAGGGCGAAGGCCCCTCGCCCGCGCAGGGCGGCGGTCACCTTTTCTGCACGATGAGGTTGATGTTGCGCAGGGCCACGTACTGCAGCTCCGGCTCGGCCGACAGCAGGGTGACCAGGGGAGGCGCCAGCTTTTTGAGGAGCGTGCCGTAGTAGTCGAGGTCCTTCGACAGCATCTCCATGAACTTCATCAGCACCTTCACCGCTGACAGCACCACCGCTGAGTTGGCGTGAGAGAGCCGGGGGGTCACACGCTCGCAGATGCTGAGGAGACACGGCGTTCCCCATTCCACAGCAAACAGAAGAGAGGGGGACAGAGGACAGGGCTGGCATCCGCCACGGAAGCCCAGCATTTGGGGGCCAGAGGAGCTCCCCCAGCATGCCAGGCAAAGGAACTGGCGCAGCCCCCGCCCCGCCCCGCATCACTCCTCACCCGGGGCCTGGGCCTGGGCCCTGGGCAGCTGGTAGTGCAGGGGGCAATGGGAGCTCGTATGCACAGAGGAAGAAGAAAGCCGGGGACCCCCGCAGCCATTAGAGGGCTGCTCTGAAGGCTCCGAGTCGGAAGCCCTGGGAACGGAACCCCCCCCAGCAGACCGAGGGCCCTGAGCCCTCCACGCCCTCTGCTCACCTCTGGGCTTCCCGGTCATCCTTGGGCATGTAGCTGGCCAGGCAGTCCAAGATAAAGATCTGGCCCCACTCTGTGCACTCGTTCAGGGCCGTCAGCAGCTTGTTGATCGACTGTGGGTTCAGGTCCAAGAGGTTGCTGCTTGGGTGAGACTCGGCTATCTCTGAGAGGGCGGCCACAGCATTGGCCACCACCTGCAAGAGAGGCCATGGGGTTGGGGCTCCAGGAGCACGAGCCACACGACAAAGCCAGCACACACACACGTGCGCACACGCACACACACACACACACACACACACACACACACACAGTGCGGCTCTGGGCTGGACCCAGGCATCCCCTCCACAACACAGTTCCTGCGCTTCTCTGCATCGCTGCAAGGAAGCCCTCCACCAGGATTTCCCTGGTTTAGCAAAGGAATCCAGGTCTGGACACAAACAGGTCCCACTGCACCAATGGCACCAGTGGAGATCCCCACAAGCACCGGCCACAACCATGGTTGGGAAAGCAGCGGCTTGCGGACCGTTCACAGGGAGACGACATCTTTTAATCACGACCAGCCTGCCCAGGAAGCGCCTGGCTCTTCAGAGGGGTGCGGGGCTGGCCCAGACAGGCTAGGGGAAGTCGGCTGAGCCCAAGCCCGAGGCAGGAAGGCCCACGGCAGGACGGTGCCGGCTCACCATGGGGTTGGAGTCTGAGATGAGGTCCTTGAGGGTGTCCAGGAAGCCCTGGTCCTCCACCAGCTGGGCATTGATGTCATGCAGCTTGGCCACGCACACCGCAGCCGTCTTGCGGACGTAAGGATCCTCATCCTTCAGGCACTTGCGAAGAGGCTCACACAGGTACTCAGTAATCTTATCCACGCGAATGCAGCCCATGGTCCGCACGGCCAGGGCCCGGATCAGGGGGTTGGGATCCTCACAATCCTGAAAGGGTCAGACACAGAGGCCTGTCTCATTGCCAAAACTCCCTACAGAGGGCCTCAAGGCTGTATGTTGGAGTTCAAGCTGACTACTAAGCTTACTAGCCTCAGATTCAACTGCCAAGAGGAGCAAGTCAACTGGCTTAACAGAAACCTTCCTGAGCTGCGTATCCATAGGGTGTCACCATGAAGGAAAAAAAGCATGTACACATGTGCAGAGAGGGAGAGAGAAAGGGACAAAGGGAGAGGGAGAGAGAAAGGGACAAAGGGAGAGAGAGAGAGAGAGAGACAGAGAGAAAGAAGAGAAGGGAGAGAGAGAGAGACAGACAGACACAGAGAGAGAGGGGGAGAAAAGGAACTGAAACTGCTGGGGTCATCGGTGTGAATGCAGGGGCAGGAAGGCCCTCCCGTGCTGAGGCCGGGCTCCACCCACCTTCACAAAGGTGTTGACCGCCATGATGGCCATGTCTGGCTGGCTTTTGGCGTAATTCATCAGGTACAGGTACACCAGCTTCTTTAGCTCGAGGTTGTCGGTCTGCATGCAGTTGACCACGTCGGGGAAGAGGGCGCTGGGGAGCCAAAGCAAACCAATCGGCACAGGTCTGACCTTGTGGGGAGAAGGTGCACAAGGCAGCCTAGGCTTGGGCAGGGAGAGCTACATGAGAGACTGAGTGTGTGGCCAGGGGAGGGGACACAGCCAGAGATATGCCCCCTGAAAGGGAGGCAGGGAGGGCCTCTACCATCCTTGGCTGCCATGATGTCTAAGCCTGGGCGTCCAGAGGTCCTTCTAAAGTGGCTGTTTTTGTTCAGGGAACAGATCCCCTGTTCCGGATGGAGCTCGAGGAAAGGCAGGGAGCCATGCAGACACCCCGCTGGTTTCCTGAGGGGAAGAACCCTCAGCAGGGAACGTCGCCTCTGGTCCCTGCACCCTGGTTCACAGCTTGGGCCCCTGCTCTTAAACTGGTCTACAGGGAGCGTGGTGTTCTCTGGGCTGGGCAGCCTTAGCCTCATTTTCACATGTCTCAAATTCTTAAGGCCAACACAGAGAAGGGAAGGGAAGGGAAGGGGAGGCTGAGGTTTGGGGGCCTGAAGTGGAGCTCGGAGGGGCTGAAGAGGGATGGTGGGCCAGGGCTGGAGCAGACAGATCACCCTGAAACTGCCACATCAAGGGAGAAAAAAGGGGGCTAGAGCGGGAGGAAATGCTGGTGAGCCTGGCCTAATCTTCTGTGCCCGACGCCTGAGCAAAACATGATCATCTGAAATGGAATAACAAAGTCATCTCGGTGGTGCTCCATGCCCCAGAGGCGTCTGACTTGGGCAGTGGCCCAGCAGAGCCAGGCCAGGCCCCAGAGCAGGCCCAGCCAATTCTCTTGGCTGACAAGCGGGCAGAGGGCCTGGGAACAATCCCTGCTCTTCCTAGTGGGTTCTCGGGGCCCAGGCTCTGTGGGCTCCAAGGACACACTGGCTCCTCAGTGAAGAGGGAAAAGCATGTGCACACGTGTGCGTGTGTATGTGGACTGGCCTGTGTTAGTCTGTCGTGGCACTGCTACCAGAAGGCAGGAATTCTTAGCCAGGATTGTGAATTTTTTTTTTTCCTAGGCAATGGGGTTAAGTGACTTACTTGCCCAGGGTCACACAGCTAGTAAATGTCAAGTGTCTAAAGCCAGATTTGAACTCAGGTCCTCCTGACTCCAGTATTCTATCCACTGTGCCACCCAGATGCCCCAAAATGTGAATTTGAGGAACTCACAGTGATTTCCTTAGAGTACTGTCTTTTTGTTTTCATTTTTTTGGCTAGGCAATGGGTTTAAATGACTTGCCCAGGGTCACACAGCTAGTAAGTGACAAGTATCTAAGGCCGGATTTGAACTCAGGTCCTGACTCTAGGGCCGGTGCTCTATGCACTGCGCCACCAAGCTGCCCTTCCATAAGCTTTTGAGTTTCAAATTTTCTCCCCCTCCCTCCCCCATGAATCTGTTTTTAAAAAATACTTTGATAACCATATTTCAATACAATGGGTTGCTTTTGTAATCTTATTGGCTTTATTTTATCCCATTAAAAACATGATTCTGAGAAGGGGTCCCTAGGCATCACCAGCTGACCAGAGCGGTTCAGTACACAGGAAGGTGAAGAAGCCCTGCCCTGAAAGAATTCTTAGCACAAAATAAGGCTGCTGCCCTTAAGGAGCTCACGGTCTGGCTGCAAAGACAAAGCGCACCCACACGGTGTGAAACCAGATGAGAAGTAAACGCATGGCAGAGAGAACGGCGCTTTAGGTGGAAGAGAGGGTGAGAGCCCGGGGCCCAGAGTCACAAGAAGCCTGGCTGAGGCCTAGCATTCAGAGGAGGGAGGAAGGGGGAGTGGGGGTGACGCCACGAGGCCTCTCCCACCTGACATCTTTGCCCACGGTCATGGACGCAATCACTTTCTTCACAGCCTCCTTCTTCTTTTCCTTCTTGTCGCTGTTGAGCTCTGCCTTCAGCTCAAAGATCTCCCCTGGAAAAGAGTGGGTGAGGGTGAAGCCAGGCCTGTGAGGCCTAGCCAGAGGTTTGGGGTGTCTTCCCAGAATCCTGGCAGAAGCCCACGTCGGCCCGGGGCCTCCGCCGGGCCAGCCGGGAACCCAGGAGACCAGAGAGCTGTCCTGTAGAGGGACGGGCTTGTGAGCAGGAAGGACTCCAAAGGCTGAGGACCAGGCAGAGAACAAAGGCAGAAAAAAGGGTGAGGGAAGGTTCTGGCTCAATGGGATCATTAAGGGCCAAGTAAAAGCCTGAGCAGGAATCCTTGGCAACTGGCAAAATGCAAGCTAAGGGACAACGGGCCCTGGGTCAAACAGGCATTGAGCAACTTCGGCAGTTGGGCCTTTCCTGGAACATCTATTTAAAATGCCCTGGTCAGGGTTTCACTTCCCAGTCTCCATCTGGCTGTTTTGTGTTGAACGTGGGAATCCACACCCTAAACCCCAAAGGAATGAGGAAGCAGGGCTGTCTAAGGCTGACCAGTGGTGGTGACCAGGACTCCTGGCTTCTCCTATGAGCACACCCACAGTGGGGCCGTAGGGGAATCAGGGCTGTTGTACCTCAGTTTCCCATTTGTACCATGAGAACTCTCATGTCCTCTGTGCTGAGCTCCTAAAGAGGGGTACTATGATGGTGAGAGACAGTACTTGGGAAAGGGGCCACAGGCATGCCCCCCACAAAGTTCTTGTCGGACTGGCTTGGGAGATAGCGGGCAGCCAGAGACAAGAGGAAATGCAGAGTGTCTCAGGGCTGACCCTGGGGAAGTGGGAGGGATCTTGAGATTGAAACATAACAAACAGGGTTAACAAAAACACAAGGACACACACAATATGGCAGGCGCCTCGGGCAGGAAGAACGAGCCGGGCCTGGCCTGGATAGTGGGGCCTCCGCTCCCTTCATTCTCCGCCTTGTCCTCCTTTCCAGTAAGCCCCGTCAGCCCCAGAGGGTTCTGAGGCAGGCGGCAAAGGCTGGGATCACATCAAGCTGCCTACACCCCAGAGCAGCTGAGGGGCTGAAAGGGGGATCTTCCAGATGGCCACCTGACCAGAAGGGAGGCTCTGAGGCCCAGCCTCCGGCCTCTTTGACCAGAACCCTCTATTCCCATGCTTGGCGCGGGCCTTGGCACATCTGACTGGGCAGGAAGGAGGAAGGACCAGACAGACTGACACCTCTGAGGTCAACTTATTGAGCTGCCTCTTTCCCTGGGGGGCCAGCTTCCATGAGGAGATCTCTCTTCCTGTCCGTTTTCCAAAAGGAACAATCAGTCTCCTCCATCATTCACGAGCTGTGACTGCCCAAGGTTGGCCAAAGCCCTCCACCTGTCGACATGCACACCTTCACTGGGGGAATTCCCCGCCCCGTACACCCCAGGGGAGTAAGCGGTCAGGCTGGCCAGGCCGAGGCCAGGCCCAGGGCCCTCTCAGGCCAGTACCTTTCTTGGTGGTGGTGAAATACTTGGAGTCAGTCATTTTGGTCCTTTAACTGGCAGCAGACTGGTGGCTCTGCAAGGACAAGAGGAAGAAAGAACGAGAAAGACTTTACCTCCAATAACCTTCCATTAAAGCCACGAGAAAGGAGTCTCGGGAAGACATACAAGGGCTGAGGTGCTTGGGGGAGAGACCATCCCTTCCTGCCGCGAGGCAGACGGCCTAGTACAAAGCAGCTGGAGAGAAGCGTCTGCCCGGCAGGCGCACCCAGTGACTGTCCGCTACACGTCCCCTCCTGGCACAGCTCCTGGTTCCCTTCCTCAGTGGCCTCTTAGAGGCAGGACTGACATACGGAGCTCGAGTTAGGAATGATGGAGGGAAGGCTCCCGGACAGCTGAGAGGCGGGACAGGAAAGGGCACTGCCTTGGTTCAAATCCTACACCAGACACTTACTAGCTACGTGAGCCTGGACGAATCCCTTAACTTTCCTGAGCTTCAGTTTCCTCATCTGTAAAATGGGTGGAGGGGTTGGATTCAATGGTCTCTAAGGGTCCTTCCAGCTCTAAGTCTACGAGTCTATGATCCTAATCGGACAGATGAAAATGGAGTGAGCAGCAAAATACGGCCAATTGGAGCAAGTTCTGTCAACGTGGCCTGAACTCGGCCGTCCTGAGCCCTCCACACGAGCTTCAGCAGCCTTCGGGAAGAGAGAGGAGAAAACACTCAGCACCGCCACGGAGCCGGCCCCAGCTTTCCCAATCTGTCGCTTCCTGAGAGAGAGGTCAGGGGAGCCTTCACCTGCCCTCTGGTAGACTGACAGGAAGCAGGCTAGCTTGGAGGCCTCCCACTTAACAACGTCCACCTTGTGGACAGCTCAGTGGCCAACAGTCATTGTTGCTGGGAAGGGGGGAAAGCACCTGCCTGGTCCCATGATATAAAGGAAAAAAACAAAACAAAAAACGACTTCTGTTTTATTTTGCAAGACTAAAAAGGGATGTGGCATTTCCCTCATGGAAGTGTGGAGAAGCACAGCCCAGGAAAAAAGTCACCAGAGAAGAGGCAACAGCTTTTGGGCTCCCCATGTCAGCTGGCACAAGGGCCCTTTTAGAACAACCGTTCCCAAGTGGGTCCCTGGGGGGTCTCTCATGGTCACCGTGAGGCCTCTAAGGCAGGTGAGGCTCGTGCAGCAGTGTGCCTCATGACTAACCGGGGCTTGGCAGGGCTCTGGGAGGCCATGCAGACAAACCTTTGTTCCCAGTGGACAAAGTCCCTCTCATCCAGTGTCCGCTGGGAGACTTCCAGTGAGAGGAGAAGAACGGGGGCCCCAGGTCCCTTTCCATTTCCAGCCCCTCAGGAAGGCTTTCCTTTTCCTTCACTGAGTCTGAATCAGCTTCTCTTTGTTCTGCCCCCTTCACGTGGGACAGTCCTTCAAATACCTGAAGGCGGGCTGTCGCCCACCCCTCTCTGCACCTCCAGGGTACGGCTGTGAGACATCCACTTTTATGTTTGCTTTTGATATGAACTATTTCAAATAAAAATCAGGTAATGCCTCTATTCAGGGCAGTTAGGTGATGGAGCGCTGAGCCTGGAGTTAGGAAGACTCATTCATCTTTCCAAGTTCAAATCTGGCCTCAGACACTCACTAGCTGTGTGACCCTGGGCAAGTCACTTTACCCTGTCTGCCTCAGTTTGCTCATCTGTAAAATGAGTTGGAGAAGGAAATGGCAAACCACTCCAGTATCCCGGCCAAGAAAACCCCAAACGGGGTCACAGATTCAGACGTGACTGAAACGGCTGCCAACAAGAGCAGCGGCCTCAAGAGTGTCCCATCTGAAGCTGTGCTCCTCTTCCTTTGGACTTCATTAGATTCCTCAGGAAGGGCGCAGCAGGAATGGGTGGGCTAGAAGCCTCTCTGCATCGATGAAATAGCCTAATGGTCACTTGACCACTAACAAAATTAAGCAGCACGGTCCCAAGGAAGGTAAACTGGACTCCTCATCTCTCACCTCCTGTCCTAACTTGGTGCTGTTCTCCCCTTTCTGCACGCCAAGGATGGCCTTTCAACTCCTTCCAGTCATTTCAATGCCCCGGCTGACTGGGGGGCACTCAGAAGCAAAGGAGGGTTGTTTATGCCTTATCCAAGTTTCATTACCTCTTACTTCTCCTAGTTGAGGATTAGGGCCTGGGCCTAGGAATTCATTAGGACAGGGCCCTCCCAGATGAGGAAGTTCCCTCTACTATGCAGGTCTGTGGTCATGGGATCATCTTAGAGAACGGCCCAAAGCAGACATGTCAAATTCACCAGCCCACAAAGCGAATGCAAACAAGATTACAATGGAATTGGGAAATGTCTAACAAAACAAATAAAAATACAATGCAACATAGATAATGTGGATTTGTGGTTTTCTAAGCCACTATGCGCTGCTGTTCCCCCCATCCCCTAGCCTGGGGTACTATAAGGTCAGGAACCTCAGGGTCCTACAGCCAGGATGTGTTAGAGGTGGACCCAGATTTCCCTGGCTTTGAGGCCAGCTCTCTCTCCACCACACCCCTCTACTAGACTGTGGCTGTTCAGTTGTGTCCAACTCTTCAGGGCCCCATTTAGGTTTCTGGTTTTTTTTGGCAAAGCGACTGGAGTAGTCTGCCAATTCCTTCCTCAGCTCATTTGACAGATGAGGAAACTGAGGCAGAGTAAAGTGACTTGCCCAAGGTCACACAGCTAGTTGGTGTCTGAGGCCGCATTTGAACTCAGCTCTTCCTGACTCCAGGCCTGGAGCTCTATCCACTGGGCCACTGGATCAGAGATGCCTTAAAGCCGGCAATTCTGTGTCTCCTTTATCTTTGTATTCTCCTCAGGCCAGGCTTGTGCAGCCAGCTCATCAATGTGACCTGCATTTAACTGAGGCGAGAGCATCATGGGTAAAACACCAGGGGTGAAAGGCTCTTCTTTCCTATGAGAACAAGCCCTTAGACATCACCAGCTCTGCTGCAGAGGTGGGACTGAGCTGGGTGAGAAGGGCCGTTGCAGGGAATGAGATGCTGGAGGGGTAGCCCCAGTGATAAATGGGGTTAGAGGAACACACAGAGAAAATAAAACAAACCCTGCCCAGGTCAGTTTGCACTGTGGAAGTTGGGAGGAAACCCACAGTCCATCTAGATGTGTCTAAGCTACAGTTACCATGGGAACATCGACTCACGGAGACCTCCGAGGCGAGGCCAGCCCCTTCATTTTACCGACGGGGAAGCTGAGGCCCAGAAAAGTGAGGTGACCTGCCCAAAGTCCCACAGGTAAAACAGCTGAGGCTGGAATCCAAGTGGGCCTCACCATGTCCAAGACCTAGACCCTGCTGTGATGGCATCAAAGGCCTTGGGAAGCCAACTTCCCTAGGTCCCTGCGAAGCCAACTCATCTTTCCCTCATTTGCAAGGGACAAAACACACTCCCTTGAGAATCTCCCTCCTGCTTTATAATAACCTGCTTCATTTGGGGTTGGAGAAATGATAGAACAGGAAGCGCATAGGGCAGAACAAGATGGTGGTGGGAAGCCAACCTCTCTTTCTTTTTTTAGGCAACTGGGGTTAAGTGACTTGCCCAGGGTCACACAGCTAGTAAGTGTCAAGTGTTTGGTCTGAGGCCGGATTTGAACTCAGGTCCTCCTGACTCCAGGGCTGGTGCTCTATCCACTGCACCGCCCAGCTGTCCCCAACCTCTTTTCTTAAAACTAGCCAGAAGTCCTGTTGGAGTCACATGGCTGGGTAGAACCACAGACCCTTACAGTCAGAAAGAAACCTTCCACTCTTGAGGCCTTTCCTGATTCCCCAACTGTCAGTGGTACCCCCCCCCCCATTAACTTGTATTCGTTTTCTAAATAGTGGAATTAGACAGCACTTTCAGCTTTACTAAGTACTTTACAAATACCATCTTCTTTATCCTCACTTTAACCCTAAGAAGTAGGTGCTAGTATTCCCATTTTACGGATGAGGAAACTGAGGCTGAGGGAGGTTAAGTGATTTGCCCAGGATCACCAGCTAGGGAATATCAAAGCCTGATTTGAACTCGGGGCTTCCTGCCTCCAGGCCCAGAGCTCTGTGCACTATGGTATTGGAGCTACTTCTTCAAGCACACGTTGTCTCCCCCAGTGGAAAGACCACAAGCTCCTTGAGGCCAGGTTCCAGCTCACTCCTGTCTTTGCATCTCCAGTGCGCAGCACGTTAGGAGGGGACTACTCGATGCTGGTGGACTAACTGATCTCCCTGAAGCACAAATCTCCTCCATAACATCTAATGGGGCCTTCCAGGCTCTATGTGGAGAGAGAGGACCAGCCACTGCCAGCAGGGGGATGCCATGAGCAGAGGCCCAGATGTGCCTACCAAGCATGAGCAGGAGGCAGGGGAAAGCAGGCCAGTGTGTCTGGGCTCGTGTAGGGGCACAGTGGACATAACGATGGAGGCCAGTGGCAGGGAGCTCCCTCGCTACCTCCCAATGGAAGCCCCCTTTCATTTCCAATCTGGTGCCTCCTTTATACTGAGCTGAAATCTGCTGCTTGGGATCCTACAGTCAGCTGCGAGACTACCCCAGGCCTGCCATGGTGTGGTACGCACCCAACCATGAGGAAGGAAAGAGAGGCTTCACTGTGGGGCACATCAGGAGTGACTGGAGAAGGGGTCTGTTATTCAGCCGCTGAGGCCTCTGACATTTCTGCGGTATTTAACTCCGGATCACGGCCTCCTTCTTACAGCTGCTAAGCAGCGTGTCCCAGAATCCACCTGAGGCCGCCTTCTTCCTGCTCTGCAGACGCTTTCCGCCCATCACTGCTGCAGAGATCCCAAAGGGAGAAGCTGCAGAAGTCTTATTCCTTTGAAGTCAGATTACAGAGTCATTTTGAAAGAGAGAAAGTGCTACCCTTTCTGAAATCTATCATGCTGCAGGGAGGGAGTCAAGACACAACCAGCCTCAAGCCTTAACCACAAAACCATCCCCTGAATCTCGTCTATTTAGTGAGAATTATTAATCTTTTGTATGCTTTCTGCGAGCAATCATGTCATGGAAAGAGCCCAGACCTGGTACAGGAAGACCTGGGGTACTCTGCTACTTTGTAACTTCTAGCAAACCACTGACCCTGAGCCTCAGTTTCCTCAGCCTGACAGTACTTGGCGTTGCTAAGACCAAAGGAGAGAACTTGGGGAAAGTGTAAGCTATTACTATTAGGATTATTTCTGCAGGTTTCAGGAGATCTGGCCCAGATTCCTCATACCAAAGGAAGAAACCTTCCCTTTTCCTCCCCAGGGAAGAGGAAACCTAGAAAGTTAATGTTTGGAGAGACGGTTAGTGATGCCAAAGGAAGCTCAGCTGTTTTCCTGGCATGACTAGAGTCTGACGGATTTCACTTCTACCCTGCAGAGCTCAGAGGAATCATGGCCTTGCTCTGATGTTCCCCAATTTTATAGGTGCCACATTACCTGCCATGGGAAGGTGTGGCTTCCTCGGACCCAAGGGTCAGAGGCCTCAGGGTAGAGGATGCTCCGGGACTAGGGCTCTGCCTATTAGAGCTGTGTGTGCCCATGTGCCCATGTACGTATATGTGAGTGCCCGTGTGTATATGAGTGCACGTGTGTATATGTGTGCCCGTGTATATCTGTTTGTCTGCCCATGTGTATGAGTGCCTGTGTGTATATATGTATGTCTGTGTGTCTGCCTCTGTGTATGTGAGTGCCTGTGTATGCCTGTATGTGTGCCCATGTGTGTATGTGAGTGTCCCGTGTGTATTGTGTATGCCTGTGTATATCTGTTCGTCTGCCCATGTGTGTATATGTGTGTGTGTGCGTGTATATATATGTATGTCTGTGTGTCTGCCTCTGTGTATGAGTGCCTGTGTATGTCTGCATGTGTGCCCATGTGTATGTGTAAGTGTCCCATGTGTATTGTGTGTGCCTGTATATGTCTGTGTATGTCTGTGTAGGAGGGTTTGATCAGGCTGACTGCTGGAGGGACAGGATGGCTGTTTTCAGAACACCTCCTGCTCACATTCTCAATTACTTTTCCAAAGCTAAGGTCCACCTGAGTCTTGGTAAATGGGTGCTGGGACTTCCCCAAGGGAAAGGTGCATGTAAACTATCCTAATATGAGAAAGCTCCGCTGCTGCCCCCACACCAGGAGCCCCCTCAAGTCCTGTGCTTCTCCAGACACGCAGAGGGCCTGGCCAAAGTCTCCTGGCCTGGAATCATTTCCATTGGTTATTTCTCTGGTGTTAAGGAAGCCTTCAGGAGGGTCCAGGAGCAGTCTGCAGGGGACCAAGGCAGCACAGTGTGATGCAAATATTAACACCCAAGGGGCCAGAAGTGGGCCAGAAAGGGGCCAAGAAGGGGGAAAACATTTTTCCTCCTAACACAAGAACTGGGGGAACAAGAGGGAGAGGCTCCTGGGAAAGTGGAACAGAAAATCTTTTCTCTCTCACTTTTCTCCAATTTCCCCTCTGATCCAAAGCCCCCCAAATAGCAAATTTTATGAGCAAGTCA